CCATCTCGCGATACCACTCTAGTACCCAACATCAAGAGAGTTCTCGCCCGCAACAGAGACTGCCCAGGCTGAGACACCTCGGGCTCCCTTCGTTTGACGAATTCAGTTCTTTTCAAGAACCGCAGCATCTGGAGTTGGACAAGAAGGAGAAATCACAGATACGCCAGGAGCAGAATCGCCATGCACAGCGAGCATCGCGACAGAGAAGAGCCGCGCGAGCCATGGATCTTGAAGAACAGCTTCAGCGTCAAGACGAGGAACACGAAGAAGGGCAGCGGGAGATGAATGAAACCATCAATCAGCTGGAGTTGGAGCTCGAATCGGCGAAAGCGAAAAGCAAGTTACTAGAAGAAATGCTCGAACGAGAGCGCAAGGATAGGCTCGAGGTCGAGAAGCAGATCGGCGCCATGACAGTACCACGCCACATATCGCCCCAACTCTTCTGTCGAAGCCGCTCGGGCTCCGAGAATTACCCTAGCCGAGAAAGCAGTGATAGTGGATAGTGGATAGTTCGACAAGGCTGGGTTTTGGTATTGATTGGAGGTTTTGCTCTTCAGATTGCATAATATATGACTTTTTTTTTCGTTTACCACATCTCTATGTTCACGAAAATGTAGTCCGTCATCGAGAGTATCAACTCTAAGTAATTCGTCAATTTCATACGTTATTCCCTCTCTCTATTCTGGCTCATCTACCGTGGTTTGTTCGAGTACTAGTATATATTCTTACGTAGCTGAAAGACACCCAGTCTACAGCTTTGTAAGTTCGTTTAACCTGATGTGCTTCGTATCGAAATGTGTGAAGTCTCTTCCACCGGCCATACCACAAAGAAGTGTGGTATCTGCCGAGGGCGAATTTGCTCTGCGAGAACAGAGCTGAGTGAGATTGGCATCTACCGCCGGGGTTTCAACATCTGCAGTTGCAAATCGTAATGAGGCAAATTCACGAATCTACACACACGCATGAAATTTCCAGTAATCGAATTGATCATTATTTTTGCAATGAATTGTGGGAACTCGTAACACCCAGTCGCCTCAAGAAATGCGGTGCAGTCGCACAGGAAGCCGCTCCATCCTCAATGCAGGAAAATCAAAGGGGACATGAACAAAAAGTTGAACGCCAAAAATACTCCCCATGTAAGGAATCTACTTCTGCCAAACAGCAAGGGTCTCCGACTTGTCCAGGCCAACCTTCTCCCCAGGATACACCTCCAGGACGTGCTTCCAGCCATAATACCCGGCGAAACATGGCTCGTAGTTCACCCAATCGTCGCTCGGTCCCAGCCAAACGACGGTCCCGATGTTGAGCCCGGCCTCGACGATGCCCTTGATGTGCTGCGACACGATGTCGGGGTGATGCGGGTACACAAACATCAGCGCTGATACGTCCGGGTCCTGGAGTCGCGGGGTAACGTCAGATGCGCTGGGGATCTTGGAGAGGGCCGCCTCGGGCAGGTATTTGTTAGGGGCGTTGGCCAGCTCCGTCTCCACCTGGACACCCTCCACTGTGATCCTGGGCTCATTGCCGGGGGGAGTGCGCGCCTTTAGAGTGTCTGCCAGCAGGCGCTCGACGAGTCCCGAGCGGCTGCCAATGGAAAGGACGAGATAGTGGTCGCCATGGCGGCAGTTTGTGGGTGCCATGATATCGGCCAGGCCATCGAGGAACTTGGCGGAAAGACTGAGGGGTGAGTCCTCGTGGCGGATTGGGGTCTCGCTCAGGTTCAGAGTCGGCAGCTCCATGGTGAGTGGATTGTGGGCCTGTGTACGCTTGGTGGGAGAATCAACTTTGGTGATGACGAGGGCGAGAGGTCTTGAAGTCAGAGGAGATGGAGAAATTTGGGAAGAGTAGATAGCTGGACCGCCATCGGAGAGGTTCGGCGAGGGCACATCTATATGAATGAATTGTCCGTCCGTAGTTACCACCCCGTTTGTAAGGAATTACCTGAATCTCACATAACGTTCGATAATCGAAGCCCCGTTACTGGTCAGCGTGCTCACTAAAACAGTAATAAAAGGCTAGGGGTTTGATGGGGAAGAGGCTAGACCGGGCCGGCCGGTCCAGTTTTCTGGGTCAGTCGGTCCAAGGCAAATGCTGGATCTGATCTCGTCTTATCCAGACGGTTTGCCGATACCGCAACGCCGAATCTCGAGGTCAAGATGTCGACGGCAACGGCCGAACTGCATGGGGCGATGAACACTCTTGGAGATTAGCGAGACGGCACACGGGAGTTCGTCTACTGGCAGTGATTCAGAAGGGCACGTGCCTGATAACTGTCATTGGCAAAACCCCACATGCGTGTCAATGAGCATTAAAAAGGCAGAACGAAACTTTCCGTCGACCCGGCTCATGCCTAGCCTAACTGGGGAATTCCCCTTCCCCTCCCCCCATTATTGGATTTGCAGTTCCCGACGAAAACTCTTCACAGCCCCTCTGGCTTCGGCTGGACACATTTGCTTGGCCACCGATACATTGATTCAATGCAGTTGGACCGCTGTGCCATGCTGTGCCCCGCTTCCCTACAACGCAACATCATATACGTGTACACCCACGCCACACTAGACCGTGGGGGACCGTAGGTGATTAAGTGATGACAATGGGATTGTCAGCTGCATGTGGGGAGGAGCATGGAGGCTTGTCGGGGCATTCCGGAGGACACTGACTCGGGCAGACCGCCGGCTGGTAGCTTGATCACACAGACGAGCCAAGCCAATGGTACTGATGGGGCCTCGGAAAGCAGGCTTATGGGGCTGGAGAACAAGGCAAGGCCGACCGACCGATCAAGGCCCAGAATGGCTCGTATTGTTGGTCCTCTTCTTACCCGGGACCGTGATCTGTCGCCACACCGGCCGCCGTCCGGTTTGCACCACCGATCAGTCTCCGGCCGGCGATTAGAAAACAATGATTCCTTATTGGGTAAGAGTAGCTTCATAAGTGATTGCGTGGTTTCATGTATAAGACGACCTTCATTTGATTGAATTGATACTGTAGCATCCTCGCTTACACTGACCATCGCACTAGCCGTTAAATAATACTTAGGAAATAGAGCCAACTTCTGAATATCGCACTATTTTTTACGCCTCTACTACGCTATCATCTGGAGGCAGGAGACAGGGAAGAAAACCGTTATACTAGTTCACTACTGATCCTATCTCTATAGAGTAGAAATTCATTTTGTACTAGATATTGGAGATCCCGCAACTGGAATAATACCGACAAGACCGCCCAAGATTCGCAACCATTGAATGATATGCTTGAGATAAAGCAGCAATGTCCATTATTCACATTTTAACAGAGTATAGCAGCATCCACAGTCTTCGTGCTTTAGTAATGGTCACCATGAATTAGATGGTCATTTCATGGAGCTTGGTGCTTCACAAAACTAAGGGTTTGTTCTGCCGCTCGCCAATTTATCTCTGTTGCCGAGCCAGACAATCCATTAGATTTCTTTCATAGCTCTACGATTATATCTTGGGAATTACTTAGCAAGAGAGAACTAGGATCATATCGAACCTAAGGATAGCGGTGCATTTGAATAAGTTCAACCTCCCGAAAATGTCGGACGCACTACTAAACCGAACCCAAAGACGATCAAATGGGTCAAGTGTAAGACCCGGATCTATACATACCTAATTAGAGGTGTCCGAAGCATAGGACGTGCCGATTTCTGTTTCACTGAGTATCTTTCAAGTCCAGACTAACACTGGCATGTTTCAAGTTCTCTTACTCGAATTACGATCATCAATGGCAAGTTGAACGATCCTTACCGGGAATTAGGTGCTAGCGACATGGCTCATGCGTTGCCGCATTCGCGACTTCGTAGTGAAGGGTCCCCCGTTCCCTAGAGCGCATTGGCGATTATCTAGGACTTCGAAGGTAGAATGATCGAGTATTTAACAATGATATCATTTCTTGTATGCGTGCATGGTATACTTTACTCACCACGATATGATGTACATCCGCACAACGGTGCATAAGAGGACACGATTGCGGAATTATTGTGAACATATTGCGGGCACTTTTCTTTTAGTTGAGATGAACAATGGAGAACCGCGGTGCGTTTCGCTTCCTATCTTTTACGCGCCGGTGCCTTTCCCGATGTAACTGTCTTGCCCTCGATCCGGGTTGTAATTTAGCAGAATATTAACAGTCAGGGTAACTGACCAAATTAAGCAATCGAATAGGGGAATGATCCTTTTAGTTGAATGGCGAGAGTCTTCTCACGGGTATCATCACCTTTGGAAAGATATAACCATTCTCACCGCTAGTTGGTCACACCATCACTGACGACAAAGGAAATTATCTTTCATCGGAAAACCTCACAGAATGGGCTACGCGACCAACTATTGATACGTCATATTTCCACCGCGTCACGCATGCTGATGGTTCAAATCATGCACTAAGCCGTGCTGGTTCGAGCAGCGTCCTCGTGCTTCACCACTGATGAAGTGCTGGCGCCAAAAATATCGTCATTATCTAGAAAGATATTTATAGATTTGGAACACGATGTCTGTTGCTAAAGATTATGTAAAAAATTGATTGACCATGAGTTTTCGAAAAAAAGAAATGCATTTTGTGATAAGCTTCCAGCCGTTTTGACAATGGCAAGCCTTGGCATTCAGTAAGCCGGCGTCTTGTTTCCCGGTGGAACAATGTGAATGCGTCAGGTGACCGAAGCGATTGAGGGGTTGGTCAGAATGAATAAATTTGCACATTTTACGGCTGGAATGCATTGTGATCTCATGGATGCAGGTGAAACTGAACACAAGCGGTGGGCGATGGCTATAGGCCAGACCTTCAGTGATCAAGGGCCAATCAACGAGGGCGGCAGCCTAACAAACAGCTGCTTACTTTTGCCCCTCCTGCAACCTGAAATGAAGTGGCTCTTTTCTTCCTTTCGCATCCATCCATGATCCATCCCTGCTCGACTCACCCACTCGGAGGCTGTCCCATCATTTGTTTACACCTCAAAAACACCTGCCGCGTGTCATGCAGTGGTGGAAATGTCGGCTACGGAGCAAGCACTCAGGCTGCCCGAGCTCCTGCTGTCGGTCTTCGAGCTGATCCTGGCCAGCGACAGCAGCTTGGTGCCTACAACCCAGGTAAATCAGGCCTGGTTCGACTGCGCCACGAGCTTCCTGTGGAGAAGAGTCAACTGCCGTGTGCTTCATCGCGTGCCAGAGCAGCGACGCCAGATCTATGCCTCCAAGATTGAGAGGATCGACTTCGATGGCGAGGAAGGCGATATCCACGAAGCCTTCAAAGGTCTTCAGTTTAACCACCTGAAAACAATCACTCTAGATTTCTTCAACCCCCCCAAAGGCGGTTCCACTTGTCTTCGACAATATGTCCAGCCCACTCTGCAGAACTTCCATTTCTGCGGTGGCGATCTCGACGATGAGTTTCTCCTCCAGATGAAGGCTACGTGTTCGCGCCTTCGGGTCCTCGCCATGAGTCTCCCAGGACCTCGTGTTACCCCATCTGCACTCTCAAGCTTCATATCGGGATCCCAGTGCCTTGAGGAAGTGAACTTCAACGACATGGAAGGCCTCCTCTCTGATACTATGCTCCTCGACCTGGCAGGAAGAAGCAATCTTCTTTCTCTTAGCTGGGGAACATTTATTCCGCCGAGACTCCTCGCCCGGGTCTCCAAGGAAACACCTGCGCCGTTCAAGAACGTCCGCCAACTCACGTCATCAGTGTCTACTTCTTCCGTCATGTGGATCTCGCAAAACATGGTCCATCTGACGCATCTCATTATGAAGGTCGAGGATTGCGAGCAAGATGCATTGCGACCTCTACCAAAGCTGCCAAATTTAAAGCGGATTAGACTCACATTGGACGCAAAGACGGTGCTGTCGACGGAAAGCTTGGTGGCTCTGAGATCACTCAGCAAACTGGAAACGCTCGACCTGGCAGCTAAGACCAGAGGCATGAAAGTCTTTAATGCGCGCGGCGGCACTTTTCAGAACCCCGACTTTCAGAATCTCATCTCCGGCTTGCCACTGTTGCGACAGCTGTCATTGGTGATCGAGGCACAGTTATCCGTCAGGGCAGGCGCCCTTCTCGCGAAGCACTGCACTTTTATTGAGGAATGCAACATCTTGAAGAATTTTGATACTCGATTACTTATGGCCCTGGCGCCCGAGGACAAGCCCATGTTTCCGTTTCTGCTCAAGTTGAATGTCCGCAGGGCTACATTCGACCGCAATGAAGAGCCTCAAACTCTCGAGTAAGTACTTTAACAACTACACAACTACGTTCTTCGAGACTGATGAGTGAGCTACTAGACAATCCGCCGACAAACTAGTTGGTCTCATAATGAAAAACTGCCCCAAGCTGAGAGTGGTCGCCCCGAGTGTGCATAATCCGTACTCGAATCTTCTCGCCCGGAAGTTCGATAGCATTAACCAGGCGGGGGATCCAACGGTACCGACATTTCCGATGCCAGTAATTGATTAAGACGCCCAAGCGATTGATTAGCAAATTGAGGAGCGTTTATTTGGAGTAGCTGTTAGCGAATCTGAGTGTTGGCGAACCAAGCGGCCCATTTCTCTAGACAACGGGCGAAGGATATTAGTTACTAGGAAACCAATCAGACATTTGGGGTGTGGCACTTCGGGAGTGATGATTTTGGGACCTATGATATTCTTCAGTGGTCTGTGTCCGATATCGAAATTGCAATATTTCTATCATAGGCAGGCTTTGGGTGTGATGCTGGGGATTCATTGAATTTAATAATCTTCCAGCCTGAATCTGCATAAGATGTAGTTTTTAGTCTGTGCTCAGCTCTCCAAACAGGTCCGCTTTCTATCTGCCATGTCTAGAATAACACTCAATCAATGTTCTCAATATAGAAAGCACTAAAGCGGAAAGTAATAAAGTGTTCCTTACCTCTCCGTCAATGCCAGGAACAATCTAGGACAGAATTTATTTGTCTGAATCCAAACCCTGAAAACAAAACCTTAGCAAAAAGAGATCATTCAGAATTACCAATCTCCCCTAACTTGTGCATGTGGTGTCGAGTTGAAGCCCACAGTTACTTTGATAGTCATCTCAATTCACAACCGTTGCGGATCACTGAAAAATTCGTCATATATTAAGAAACAAATTATCAATCTTCACCGTAGTTTTGGCTTTGCTTTTATACTTTGGATACAAGAATAAAGTCAACCTTCAAATACTCCTATAGGGGGATTCGTGTTACACCAACTTCGGAGGACAATGCCAGCCTGTAACGTAACCCGAGATCTAATCTTCTTTGTGTGACTCTGTGTATTTATGTGTGTGAATCATTGAATCTTGTAGGTATATATTGATATACGCGCCGCTATGGAGCAAGAATCCGTACCACCAAAATCACGGAATTCTCCTCACGATAACTTCAATTCCTAGAAAGGCCGACCAAGATGAGCGCCAAGAAGCATTACGCATTTAGAGATATGACATGTCTTTTGAGTACTGTACTCGAAAAGGCGAAAGAAAACTCTGCACTCAATGGTATACTCGAACAGAAGGTGAAACGTGTACACGTTGAGTTTTTCCCCGGTGAAAACCAGAGAAAACCTCATGTTGTATTACGACTTCTCATTCAAAAAGGGGGGAATGTCATGGCCTTGCAGCAGGACGGTAACTGGGAATCTGCTGGGAGCTGCATGTTTGATTCAAACAACCGACAACAAGTTGATGGCCTTGATCCCGGAGTTGTTTTTCGGGTTCACAAGGTCTTCAAGGGACAAACCTGGGAGATGCATAGGGATAGCATCATATCCTTCATGTACGACGTGGAGCCTGTACATACGATCAAGGATTACGTTGATGTTGTACTTGGCAAACATAAAGACCTTCCGGATGGACACAAGTCAAATCTATCCTTGTTTGATCTTGCGGGTGTGGATGAGAAAACCCTAGATGGATGTCGCGATGTCGTGTGAGTACACCCCAACAAGCAAGACCTGAAAACCTTTACTGAATCGTTGCTAACCCTTTGTAAGGTCTCAATGGGTCATCAGGCTTCATAGAATGGGATTCATGAACTGGGCTGCTGACCGTATCATGTTGGACGACAAGGTTCAATGTGAAAACTTCCCGCAAGAGTTCCACAAATTCATTGCGAGGGGGTTTAAGGATCTCCAAACCGGGTTGAATAGGTTGGGCACCAGTTCCCTGGCCAAAATGACTGAACATGACATTCCCATGCGCTTCGGAAGATTTCAGGACCTTACAGTTGAACGGATCATTTGCTACGGCGACTTTACTCTTCCTTATGGCTTCCCAACTGCGACAAGAACCGAAACCCGCGGTAATTGTCTCATAGTTCCTTGTCCAAGCACCGCCGTGGACTTGCAACAATAGGATTCTTCGAAAATGATGGAGGGGAGAAAAGTTGAGGGTGATGATAAGAGTTGACCTTGAACTCAAGGATCTGGGATTTTAAGAGTGCGTTGCCACTGTGTCAAGCATACTTGTACAGAATATTTTCTGTCTGTTCTAGAAGATGTAGTAATAAACGCCATGTCTCAAGTATTATTGGGCTTCATTGTGATCTCGGCGATGGCTCTTTCATGTATCTAGTTCTACCAGATATCAGCCAATGCTCATCTGACGCCGAGATATTTATAGTTCAATACAGATGTTTGAGTGCTTCTAGCTCCCCCAGAGCCTTACTCCGATGCGTAGCGTGTCCAACATATCAAATACCAGGCCTGGAAAGAATTCAATGATTTCAAGATAGTAGAATTATGACCATTTCACTAAATGCAAGTTCTTAGCTCTTCCACCAAATATCCCCAGCCTCCCTCCAAGTATTAGAGCCACAGTGTACCTCTCCCATCAGAAGATGGTGGGAGAACCAGTCATCTTGAAAGGTGACATTGAAACCCACACTCTCATACAATTTGGTGGCTTCGTTAGCAAGAATGTCAACACCATCTATGATAGGGCCCCAGGGGTTCGGAGCAAGAACCTGGGAGTCACTCAACACCACTCCATTCACCATTCCAGGATAGAAGGCAACCAGCTGGATAGTAGAGCCTGCCTGTCGCTCTTGGACAGTACCAGATGGTGTTCCCCACTCGATAATGGACTTCGCCTTAGAAGAAGGTCCTCCCGAAATCGTGGCGACGGACGATTGAGCATTCGTATAGTTACAAGGCCAGGCTTCGGAATAGGAGTCATAGAAAGTAGCCGGCATGCGTAAAATCTCATCATCCGTGATACCTGTCGCGTTCTTAATACGTGCGATATTCTCCTCGATGAATTCGGCGGCTTGCTTCTGGTAGGATTCAAAAGAATTAAGCTGCAGCGCTTGATCGATAGAGTTCGTGGGCAGACATTGGCGTGTTTCCCCCTCCAGAAGTCCGCGTGAGACGGCCTTTTCGCCGCCATGGCCAGCCTCAGAAGCCTTCTTCAACAGGGAGAGACCGGCCAGCGGATCATCAACAACGAGGACCCAGCCGCGCTCACTATCTACAGGCAAGAATTGAAGGAATTCATCAACATGCCCAACAGCAAGCCACGAAGTGTCCAGTAGCAGTGGGTCTTGTGACTCTTGGGCTTTGATGAAGCTTAGGATCCGCGGTGTTTCATCTCCCGAGGTACCCATGATGATGCGGCCTGCTGGGTAGCTCTTCCCGTCGTGAGTATATGGTGGGATGGTTTCCAAGTTCCCAAAACTATCTCGAGTGCCTCCTGGTGCTAGCTGCTGCACCGCACCCACACTGTCCGAGCGAAGGGCAGTGAACACTTGCTCTCCGGCCGTACGGTAGGCTTGCGAGGAACGTATCATTATTCTCAGAGAGATGATCCCGTCGGGGCCAGGGATACTGGAGTACCCAGGCTCGAAGAAGTCCTGGGTCCAGTGGTCGGTCGAGGATGTAAATTTGAACACAGGCTCGCTGATTCCGGCGTCAGCCACGTTTTTGGCTAGGTTCTGCACGAAGCGGCTTTGGTCGGGCCAATTAATAGTAGGAAGGGTGGTGAGGATCTTCTGCGCCAGCTGGGCATGGTGATGAGTTAAGACGGGGGCCACTCGAAGTGCCACAACGTCCTCCGCACTTTCAGCTCCATCAGAGACGGTGAACGTCACCTGCGCACGCCCATCCCACTCGGGGCGACGGACATCGCGGGCATCGATTCCGAGTTCCAGGCCGCCTTCGAGCTCACTAGCAGTGAACGTATAGTTGGAGGGAACAAAACTCCAGGATTCGCCAGACTTGAAGAAAATGCGAGTCTTGGCAGCCGCAACCTCGTCGAGGACTTTGACAGTACCGACTGCAGATGTGCTCAGCCCTGTGATCGGGAGGGTACGAAGAGGAGCTAGGTATTTTGGATTCCGGAGTTCATTGCCCTCAGCGTCATTGCAAGTGTCGAAATCACGGCTGCTCGCGCACCGTTGGCTGGTATCGCCAATGTTGGCTAGGAAGAGGGCGCCCCTGTCTTCCGTCCAAGTGGCCTTGCCCTCAACATCGGAGTTTCCTTCGACGTCAACGTGGCCGTCCCTGTTAACGTCGGCCAAGATTGTCGCGCTGAGGGCAGCTGCAGTCTGAGCCAAGGCTGCAAAGAAGTTAACGAGACGCCGCGGTAGCTTCGGAGGTGTAGAGTATCTTACCTAGGCCAGCTATGGCAAGTTTGCGGGGGGAATATGTCATCTTTCTTGACTTCCTCGAGCACCACGCCATGAGATAGATGATTGGAGTCTCCGTGTCTAACGGAACCGGAGGATGGCCTCATTTTATTGACACGGCTTTTGAATGCTCTGCTCCTACTTTGACGGCAGACCCATGCCAAGAAAGGCAAAGGACCCAAAATTGGCAGCTCAACACGGTTCACCTGCCAAAGAGGACGAAGCATTTGCTTATTCTATCCACCGCCGGCTTGGCAAATAGGCTCAGCCTCGCTGCATAGCCTGGGATAATCGCGTATAGAATACGTATGTGCTGTTTCACCTTTGCTGGGATGAATTGATTGATTACCTAGCTGGCAGATAATCGCACGTACCTGGTTGAATTAAGCTCGGGCACTTTGATGAGCATACGAGTAAGCTTTAAATAGTGATCCGCTCTGTCCAATTAGCCAAGCCAGGTCGTATATTATTCGCTACTTTCTTTTACTAATTAGCGTAGAGTCATGATGGAAGCAGATATTAGCACCCGGCGCATCCGTTGCTTCACGCGCAACCCGCAAGAACCTCGGATGTGCATGCAACCGAAACTATTTCATCAATCTAAGGGGAGGTTTGCATCTGCTGTGTCTACCGAATCTGATCATTCGTTAGCTCTGTTCTGTCGAAGTAGAATACGGGATGTATAAGGAATTGCATATAGTTTCAACGCCACCCCTAAACGGCCTCAGCGACAGAAGCGCCATAAACCAACCCCCTTCAGCATTAGCTGCTTGAACTTTTGCTCCTTGATTACTGAAAGACAGATTTAAATGACCTCTCTTGGCAATAGGAGAGTAACTACCGCGGGCCAGGCAATCCCGAGGAGGTCAAGGGATAAAAAGCACGTCCCTCTCGCCTGTAATGGGGCAGCCGCGCGCGGCCATTGATCCGCGAGCGGTAGCCTAATTCAGACGGCATCCATCAGCGTGAATAGACATGATCAATCTCTGCATCGGCCAGAAATTCATACCGATGGCCGGTGGATGGCACGATGGGAGGTGGGGAGGATGATCAGACTGGGAATGAGATATCGTTTACTCCGTCTTATCGGTGTTACCCCCGCACGCATGTAGCCTCACTTTTTTATCATAGTCCGATGGTCAGAATATGTATCTGTTGGCAAACTAAAAGCAAGAGGTACATCGTGGAGAGACGTTGATCTTCCCCAACTGCTGCTTATGAGTCAATATCGCCGTACACTCAAGGATCCAAGTTATCATCGCTTATATGATTCCAACACGTATCCTGGAGCAGCTTTCATTTGTTTGTTCTATTTAAATATAAAATATTCTGGTCATTTTTGGGACAGAAGAGCAGCGTCTACTCCCCACGTACACTTCTCGTGATTTGTAGCCTTTTCTCTCTAGTTAATATCATTTGAATTGAAAAGTGCATTGATAATAAGTAGCTACCCCAATAATATATTATATACTTCAAACATCTTACATACAGTGCTAGATCATCCAGCAACACCCATAAACTTCTTCGATAGTGCGTCAGGGTCAACCTTTGATGCTGCAACAGCCTGAAGGGCCGGGCTTGATTCAGAAGGCAGAGGCACGCCAAGTGGCAGGAGCATCTTGAAGAGGAACGGACTAAGATACGGGGTCTGCCTAGCCTCATCGGTGGCGATTTCGGGCTTGATGGTGATGTTGTCGATCTTGGAAATTTTGGTTAGTGAGACTGATCTATTGAAAAGTCGAGCTTCAGTGATGGCTCACCTCCTGGATGATGCGGTTCATCATGAAACGGCACTTGAGGCGCGCCTCCTCCAGACCTACAATACTAGGGGCAAAGGGCTCGTCGATTGAAGGTGGTGGAAGAGTAACCACCTTCTGTGGAAGGCTGGAAGGACTAATAACTTCAGCCACGCTGCCTTCAACCGACTCAGACTCAACGACAGGCTCTGGAGCGGGCGCTTCTTCCTCCGCTGCCGCGGCCTTCTCGGTGATTGCTTTTGCATGTTCAACTACAACAATGTCAATATCTATAAAGCCAAGGCGTATTGCTACACATACCGGCTTTGTTACCCCTTGGATTTATAACAAGAGCCTTTGTTCCCTCCGAGGCGTCATAAGCAAGGACTTGAATTGAGGCAAGAATTGACTTGTAGTCGAGATAGGCCTCCTGGAGAACATTCGTATATGTTCCCGTCTTGTCGTAAACAGGTAGGTCGAAAGTCTGGCTTGTGTAAAAGCTCCGGAGGGCTGTGTACTTGGTGAGCAATGCGTGGGTGCGCATAGGCGTCTTGGCGCATAGATCGGGGAACTTTAAGGCGACGGCCTTCATTGTGTCAAAGTCCCAGTCCTTGCTGGCTTCATTTCATACCGCGTCAGCTAGGAAAAAATCCATAGTGATTAGGACTAGGGTCGCATACCATCTTTAAGTTGTTGACCGCCACCGGTCCATGTCACGGAGACTGAGACCTCGTTCTCATCTGCTAAGTGCTTCTTGATGTTGTCAAACTTGGCGCTGATGTCAAGTGCAACCTCCTTACTCGCAGACCCAGGGGGTGGGTTCTTATTTTGAGAGAAAGCAACTCGAGCACTAGAGTGGTATGTCAATGCGATGAAAGATACCGAAGAAGTGAGAAATCAGGGGACATACTCGGCAGCAATAGTCTGGGCTTCGTCTCGGTTCTTGGCTTTAATGCTAATTACAGCTAAGAACTCGCCACCCTCCTGCCAACCAG